CATGCACTGCACATAATGAGACTCAGTGAATCCTGTAGTCATTCTGTGACACAATGGCTTTCTAGTCAAAAGAATATTGCTTCATAAGCTGAATTCAACAGAGATTAAATTTTAAACACTTTTAGGAGCTAACATTGACAGAGGTAGAGCAAGGACTCCAAAAGTCTCTGAATTCACCCATTTTCCTGACTGAATGACACATTTCAACACTTGGTTCATCTCCTTTCACACGAATAAAGTGAAAGAAAAGGGTTAAGTTTTTAAATAAAGAGCTGAGATTTAGTAGGTAGCAGATGTGCCATAAACCCTATATAAAATTAAATAAAATAGAAGCCAAGGACAGAATGGTGTGATTGTCAAGTGTCCTGTTCTGTCTACTGATATTTTCTTTTCTTCCACCTTAAGCAGATCACAGAATTGCAAATTAAACCCCTTAGCAGCTGATGTTTACTGATTTTATTATTATTTTATTATTACATGCCTGTTGTAAGGGTCCCATACAAACACTCTTTTGCAGTATCAATTTAGGATTGCAATCCTTGTTTTAAAGTACATTTAAATTATTAGCAGACCAAGGATTATTTGAGGTGCCTGCAACCTTAATGGAAGAAATTTCTGGGTTTTATTACGGATGTGCAATATCTTGGTATTAATTCTTGGCTGAAAAGAATAAAAAAGGAGGTGTTTTTTTATTGCTCTTTTTTTATCTGCAGACATGGTTTATTATTCTGCAACACTACCATTACATACCTCAAGATCTCAAAGACTACAGCTCTGTTTCCCTACTTTTAAGGGATAGTAGTTTACTGTTTGTGTCATAAAATTGATTTCAGGGCAACAACTGAGCGTCAACAAATGTGTCCCAAACTATCCCAGATATTTTAGGCTTAGAGAAGAAGGGTTTGTCTCAAACCCTTGAGGTGTTAATAAGAATATATGGGCAGGATTTCAATGAGATGCTGAACTGACACAGGTAAGGAAGCCTTTGTATAACAGGGTTTCTATATGAATGGTGCTGCTCTGCTTTAGCACATGAAGCAGGACCCATGGAAGATCCCAGATTCTCTGCATCTGGAGGCCAGGTGGGATGTTTTCATGTCTCTGAAGTAAAATTAGACCCCTGAGTGCATGCAACCAAACTGTGGTCTGGATCTCCATTTTGTTGTTTAAGGAACTCACAGAACTGGTGCACGTGGACAAGCCCATGTGTACCACACACACACACACACACACATTGTGACAGAATTAAAATTGAACTTCTTGGGCTCAACCTTGCCCAAAACCCTGAAAGTCGTTTCATGTAGAGGAATGTTTTGACTGTATTCCCTTGAGACCAAATTCAGGCTGTGGGTTTGAGAGAAAAAATTCTGTATTCTGAGAGAAAAGCCTGTGGGTCTATCTGGGAGCTATACTGGTTTGTAAAAGCATTGGCATATTCCTTGACCCAGGGGGAAAGATGACAAGTTACTGATTCCTTGGTCCTCTAGATGTGACATCCTGATATCATGTGGGAAAATGCAGTTCAGTTCCTCTGCTTCAATTACTGTACTAGAAGTGACCCAAGCTGGTGTGGTCTTTCTTAAATACAAGTAGAAACACTGCTGTGTGAATGCAAAAATGAACTGTTATTTCTGATGAAGGCAGATTAAAAAAAAAGAGTCTGAGTGAGTAGTAATACAGAACTGTCCATAAAATATAGATTGATTGATAGATTAATTGATGTGTTATGAGTATAGCCATTGATGTAAGTTCTCTTTTTTGAACTATTCCTTTTTTCTTTCTGATAGCATAATGTCTTATTTACAGCAGAGATGCTGTATGCAATTTATCTGTTTTAATGCTCTAAATTTTTCTATATTTTCTTCCAGACAGATTGTGATTTATTATTTCCATATAGTGACACCTGAAAACCCAGATTACAATTACATTGTTTGCTGAAATCATTTGTATAAAATCGATTCTTGTAGTTACTCAGAATTTTATTTGGCTGAAAATGAAAATAAATTTGTATTTTTATTTTAATTATAGGAAAGGAAGAATGGTTTTTAAATTTTAAAATGGTCTAGATTATTCTTCATAAGAGAAAAAAAGCACAAATTGGTGGGGTTTTGCCTATGCTGCCCCACCATCTCCCTGAAGTGGTACTGTATTTTTCAGAAAGTAGCTGGGATTTTTTTGTTACTTGTGTTATGCTGTGTCTGTGGATGCTGCTGTGCTGCAGAATCTTTTTGAAAGGGAAATAGAACATATTGATACGTAAGACAGACTTCATCAGATTGCATAAAGCAATTCCATACAATGGGGTTGACCTGCTTTTGTATCCCTTTTATTTTAGCAGTACCCAGGCACAACCTTCACTCTGAGATAATAACAGACTCAGTGTGATTCAGATTGCTCTTTAATGAAAGGATTTTCCCTGTGCCTGGTTGTAAGATTTGGCTAATGCAGGAGGAGGTTGCAGCCAGCAAGGTCTTTCACATGTAATGTATAATTGATGCAGGATTTGACTGGCAGCAAAGACTCATCTTCTAAAGTTATTTTTATCAGTACTTTCCTCAATGTAATCTCTCACACTGTTCAGAGGTGGAAAGGAGTCCATCCACAGGTTTTCATGCCATAGTACCAGTTTAATGATGAAGACTCTTTTGAGCACAAACCTTATTTTATTAATGAGATCTTGCTTGATTTGACAAAATAATAATTCTTTATTTATAAAAGACTGGTTGCTGCTTGTCATTTGTGGCTAGCATGCCAGTATGGATCTTTTTACTTATTAACACCAAAATCTGGAATTATTTATTTACTACTGTCTATGTTGTCAAAGCAGTAGATGAAGATTTTAGCACACTTGAAATCACTTGTTCTTATTGTTGACGTATTACTGGAACTTTACTTATCAGATTTACACTGATGTCATTCAGAGTGAAAGGTATTCAGCAGCTTGAAAGATTAGTCAGCTACTCAGTGTTAAGCCCTGAATGAGGAAACAATCATGCTTTCCTTGATTTAGTGATTTGAATACATATGTGAAATATTTTTTTTACCAAGTGTTGGTAGAGAAATATATTCTTCTCATTAAAAGTCATATCCCTAATGATATTACATTACACACATGGTAATGTAATTATCTTCCTGAATCTATTAAAGTTACCTGTGAAAACAAGGAAAACATGATCCCGTTATGCTCTCCATCTTGGAATAAGAATTGCAGATTATTGAGGGCACAACTGAGAAGAGATTCTGTGAGCAAACTCAGCCACATAGGAGCAGTTTGGGGAGATTTGAGAAGATTTTGTTCCACTTGTTGACCGATTTTCATTTACTGCACAAGTCAAGTCCATGTTCAAGCACAATCTTGAGCTGAATATATTGTTTTTCCTGAGTTACACATATGTTGCTGTTCTAGATTGCAAATAATTCTCTCCAGTTTTGTCAGATGAGAAAAAGTTTATATTTTAAATGACTGAATAAATATCAAAAAAACAAAGGAATGTAGCCTACCAAGAGAGAAGCTAGGGGACATTCCTCTGTTCTGGGGACATTCAAAAGGAAAATTGGGATGACCAATCTCTTCATGGCCTACAAGGAGGAGAGACTGGTACTATGGCATGAAAACCTGTGGCCGGACTGGTTTCCACCTCTGAACAGGTGGCATGTGGGATGTCCTCTTTTCTTCCTCCAGATTGCTGTGAAGGTTAATTTGCAGGAGGTGATAATACTGGGAAAAATACATGCTGAGAGATCACTTTTTACACCCTCCTTTTGTTACTAATTTGTTGCAACCAAGTTACAGAACAGGTTTCTTAAACTCCCACCCATTTGTTACATTCAAAACTTTGTTACAGGCAGAAATAACACGTTTGTATGTGTAGTCAAGAGTTTATTATTAGTTTAATTAAAGTCTTAGTAGTATAATCAGAGTATTATTATTACAGTAATATTGACATAAACATTTATAACACAAATTGTATGCAGCTAAATTGATCTGCACACAAACTTTCTGGTATTTACCTCATTATATGACGTTGCCTCCACCTCCTCCAGTGCATCTCTGGGACTTTCAGTCAGAGGTGGAGGGAATAGACAGTAGTCATCATCATCATGAATCCTTCATGGAGAAGAGCTCAAAACTCTTGGTGACTGTTTCTTCCTCCTTTATTTAAGATCTTGGGTTCATTTGTGTGTTTAATAATACACCTTTCTCTTTCTTCAGTTGTCTGCAAGCCCACATTGCATCTGTATTTGCTGTACATCTTGCATGTGTTTTATGCACCATGGAGGGTTGTTCTTTGTTCTTTTTGCTCTCCTTGTTTCTGCCCACATTCTAGGGTGTGCTATTCATATCCTTAGTGTCATCCCATGCTGGTACTTTCAAGCCATCTCATTCTTTTCCTCCTTATGGGCTGTGTTTTGTCCTAGAGCCATGAATAACTCTTTTTACGCAGTCATTGCCTGTTAGTGTTATCTGTTAGTTTAAAATAGATGAAAGTATTGCAAAGCACGGTTTGCACATAAAAAAAGTAAAATAAAGGTAGTTATCATTTCAGCATTTGACAATTGCCATTACTGTTTAAAAAAGCTCACACAAAGCTCGAGGCAGAACAAGACAAGGACTGACAAGTCATGAAGTCTCTTGTTAAGGTAACCCAAATCCTGCAGCTGTTAGAAGGAGCCCTACACTTGCCTTTCTGTGTGGAGATACCTTTGTGTAGGGCTTGTCCCCTCTGCAACAGACCCTTCAGCACTTTGTCATCTTTGTCTTCAGTAGAAAGGGTCTAAAGGAGAACCCTGGAAAGTAACAGTCAGTCTCACTGCTGCTCCCAGTAAGATCATGGAACAGATCCTCCTGGAAGACCTGTTGGAGCGTGTGGGAGACAGGGAGGTAGTTAGAGACATCCACTGTGGCTTCACCAAGTCCTGCCTGATCTAGTGAGCTATGATGGAACAATGAGCTCAGTGAGTAAATCAGTGCATCAGTGAGTAAAGAGACACCTGTGGATCTCATCTACACAAACTTCTCTAAGGCACTTGATGTGGTCCTCCACTGCATCCTCACCACTAAATTGAAGAGATACAGGTTGGTTTGACAGATGCTTTAAGATGGATGAGGACTGATGATGAGGACTGATGATGAGGGTAGTGAGACACAGGAGCAGATTTTCTAGGGAAGTTGTGGATGAGAAGGCCAGGTAGAGAGGGGCTACTAAATCTAGTGGAAGGTGCCTTTGGCCACAGCAGGGGCATTGGAACTAGGTGCTCTTGGAAGATCCCTCCAATCCCAACCATTTCATGATTCTATGGAGGAGCAGTGAGCTGGCTCCTCAGTTTCTGCAGTGCAGGAGCCTGAGTGCTGCAGGCAGAGCCTCTCCTCCATCTTTCAATATGCTCAGCAGAGCCAAATTTAATTACCACTAATAGGAAGCCAAATTTAGGCTAAGCAACATAAATGAAAAAGTAGGTAAAATGTATTGTTTCCTTCATTTCTCTGTCACTTGTGCTGTGGGAGGTTCAACACATAAGATACTCTTGTTTTATATTCCTTGACTTTTATTCCTCCTTGATACATAACTGTGCTCTTGCATTGATGTCTGATTAGCTTAGAGTAGGAGCAAATAACTGGTGAGGAAGGATGGTTGCTACACTGCTGAATGCTGAAGCTTTATTATTCGTGATTCTTAGTAAAAAGAGTATTTTTTTTTTGTGAAGGATTTTGTTTGCTTGTTTGTTTCCTTGAACTTTGTTTTGTTTTATTTTAATTCATGACTTGTATATACACAAAACTTTCCTCCATTTCTCCTGGTCACCATCTGTTTTTTCTCTTTATGTTTTCTTTCCTTTTCTTCTCTGAACTCTCCCTCTCGTTCTCCCTCAACACCTGTTTGGTTAAGCAGCCATTTCCGTGAAGTTGTGTGACACAAATATGAACTGACATTCATATGATATTCATAGTCCCCTGACAAAGGCATTTCTAATGCTTGAAAAACTCCTGGCTGGAGAGTTAAAGAATAAAAAACTTGTGTTTCCCCTTCTGGCAGAGATTCCCAAACCAGAGAGAGATTACATCTAAATAATTGTTCTGATTATTTAACAAATCAGTAATAAGCATGTTGATGATAAACAATATTATTTTATTCAGCTTGCAATGGCTTTATTTGCTAGGACAGTTTTGCTAAATAGTTGTTTTAAAACAGCAGTCCCTGATACTGGTGTGTTTTTTCCCAAAATTCTGTTCTTTATGATATCTGGGATTCTGACTTCTCTTTTTCCTTAGTATAAATTGCGTTTGCTCAGAAAGTGAACAGAATCCATTGTGCTTATTAATGCAAAGTAATCTGGAGAGCATGACCAGTTAATTAAGCCTATTAGCCGTGATCACAAGCATTAGGATTGCATGCTCTGATATTTCTTTAAACAGGAATATAACCTGTAAAAAAACCTGTATCAGCTTCACTGATACGAAAAGTTGGCATGAATTGGTATCAGGTGAAAAGAATAAGGAATTAAGTAGGAATTAAATTCAGCTAAATATGATCAAAATTGACAAAAAGCACTGAGATCCAAACATTTTTGTCCTTGTTGACTTTGACTAACAGTTGGTGACTGCAAAAGGTGCTGGGCACCTCTCTTTTTATCCTGACCTTTAGCACATGAAGAACTGTCAGACTGAGCAAGCACCAAGATGCTTATTTAAACTGTCTAGAGATGAGGATGTGACAGGTAAACATCTGAGGTCTGACTTTGCTTTAGTGTCTATCCGAAACTCATTTCCTTAGCAAGGTAAAAATAGCCTTGGGTTCTTTCAGTTATTAATTTCCAGAGTTTCTCAAGGTGACCTCTCTTAAAAGGCACCTCTGTTTGTAAGAGTTATCCTTCTGGGCAGTAAAGATGCGGGAATGTCTTTGAAAACATGGAGCAACAGAATATCCATCTCTGTTTGTTGTTGCAGGGATGTTTCCACGTGCTCCTTGGTCAAGAATTTCACCAAGGATCTGGGTCTCCAGCTACAGAAGTTCTAAAGTGATACACTGGGTGTACAGAAAGGATTTTCTTTTCACACTGGGCAGTTTCTCAGCACAAATGCTGATGAGGTCACTCAAGCACATTACAGGACAAACAAAATATCAATTTTTGGGAAAATTTATCTATTGCCTGTTGCAGTAGCATATCTTGTAGCTTAAATGGCTTAAATGTATCTAGTTTTAAAAAAAATAAAACTTGAATATAGTCTTTAAAAAGGGGAAAAAAAAATTTAAAAAAGGCTGAGCTTTTCCTTTGGTATTTCCACAATGTGTAAGGGCTTTATTTTTATAATGTGTGTCACTTAAAATATTGAATGTCATGATCTCTCATTCTCTGGGGAAGAACAATGAATATGTGCGTGAAATTATTTTTATGAGGGTTTGTTTTTGTTTTCGTTTTTGGGTTTTTTTGTTCGTTTTTTTGCTTAAATTTAGTTGTTTATTTTATTGCTGCAGTACTTAGAATAATCTTATAAAGTCAGGGCCTTAGTGGGTTAAATGCAGCTTAAATGAGTAACTAAATGCTTTTCTGATCCCAGAGAAACTATAACCTAAACATTAAAGGGAGATAACAGAAAGCAAAAGGCAGCAGACTCTAGATCATGTTGGTACTTCACTTCCCAGCTCCAACTGTGCTACTTAACTCGCTCTCAACAATCTGATATTTCATACAGTTTTCTCCCTTCTTGATTCCACTTGTAGTGGTTTATATCCAGCTTTGCTTTTACTGCTGTAATCTGTATTGTTTATGCTATCTTCATTTTCTGTCAGCACAGCTTTCCCATTCCTGCTTTTCTGTACTGTATTGCCATATAAATAACTAAGGAGGAGGCAGCTGTAGCAAAAACAGAGCTGTGCTGGGTTTTATAAATTCCTCTTGTGAAAATTAGAAATCATTTGACTTATACAAATTGCTTTGCTGGAGGAAACGAAAGTGGGTTTTTCTGGTGCCTGTAGAGGATCAGAAGCAGGCACAGAATTTGGTGGTGTTGTGCCAGAAATGTATCTTTCATTAATTTCTAGCAGGATAAAGCCTATAGTCAAACATCTCATCCACAAATGCATATTTCTTTGTCCTAGAAACAAAAGGACAAAAAACCAACAAAAATTAAAAAACATAAACCAAAGCCAGGCACCAACTGAAACACAACCAGCCAACAAACAACATAAAATCAAGCTTTTATCACACCACTGTGAAAGATATATTCAAACAACTCAAGGTAAATTACTGTGAATTAATCACCACTTCAGTGAAGACATTGCACAATAATTCTCTAGGGTCCACTTCTACAGTATAGAAGAAGCTTTTCCTTTTTTAGGAAAGCTTGGTGTTTCTGGGAGATGAGCACTTTGTATTGCTCATAAGAAATGACTGGGATAGATGTCAGTGACTGAACTGCTTTGGTTTAGCATTTTCAATACCTGAACATTATCATTATAGAGAGACCTGCAGTACTTCAGAAAGCAAAGGGGATATTAAATTCTGGGGAAAGTGGAAGAAATTATGGGTCATCCAATGTATACACTTGAAAGTACATTGTTGAGCTTGGAGGAGTGGATTTGAAGGAAAGGTGTGTCTGAGCTGTATCCTTGAATGGGAATAAGTCTGGGATTGTAACCGAGATTTGATGATGAGCTGTACCTGGGCCATTCAGAGCTTGTACCACCAGCCTGGACCCCTCACCTTTCTCACTTGAAACAAGTGAGATATGTCCAAGGGGGAGCATGAAGCACATCCAATTTATTCCAATGCATCCTGATTCAGGTCTGCCTCGCTGTACCAGCCCTCTCTTGGGCCTCTTTAATTAAACAGAATAGACCTCACCTTCCAGTATTTAAGATACTTACCTGGATTGCCCCTTAGGTCTGTCAGATAATATGTAATTATCATTTGTTGGTCTCTGTCTGTTGTGGAAATAATGTAATATTACTTTAAATATCGCCAGGTGGTCATAAAATGGGCAGCAGGGCTGCAAACAAAAAAATATTAACAAGCCTCAAGGTGCTTAGAGGCAAGGAGGTATAACTATACAATTCCCTGGAACTCCTGGCTTGATTTAACAGAGGTGGTTACAAAGAATTATTGCTCAGGATGTACCTCCTGTTTATTTCCTTGTTAATGCTCTCCTGTTGCTGGTTTGATTTTTATTTTTCTATGCTTGCCTTTAGAAAATGAGCAAGACGGAACATAAAGTGGGAAATGCTGCACAGAACTCCCCAAATGCTTACAGCCTACAAAAAGAAAAAAAAAAGAAAAAAATCCAGTTTCTGTTTTAATTCTGCATGCAGTATCACCTTCTGCAATTGAAACATGCAGATAGAAGTCTGACCCCATTTGAGGCACTGAGAGTTTTTGCTGTGGAGTCCAATGCCCAGATTATTGATCCAAGTGTATGACATACAGGATGTAGAATTCATACTTCTTGAATCAGGGATATTATTCTTTATAAAATGTTTACAAAACATCTTGGAAAAATAGGATGTCTGTGTACATATTACCAACTTCCGTGAAACAAATCAGATAAATCAGATAAATAAGGATAGTGTGCTTTTAGTGAGTAGATAATCAGCTTTCTTCAGCTAATGAATTAGAAAAGTATGCTCCTAATATCTCCAAAAATAAAAAATTGAAAAACTAAATGTGTTACATCTAAGATAAAAATTGTTTGGTTTGCCTTGTTTTTCCCTAGGAAATGAATGAAGAGGTATGATCCATCTTCCTATAGTAGAAATGTGAGACAGTTTGTTTGGGTCCATAGAGAGATCAAACACAAAAAACACAATAAAGCGAGAACAATTGGAAGAAGTTGAATGAGTCACAAAGCAGCGTAGAATGATTTCCTTAATCTCCACCATGTGTTTCTGCTAAATAACTCTTTATTTTGCCTTATTATAATACCATGACAGGTCTTAAATTGTTCATCTCTTTTTTTTTTCAGATTCTAAGAGAGCTATAGGAAATGCAGCAGGATATACAGCTACTGTAAATGCAGCTGCTGCAAATGTAACATCTGTTACCAAATCCACTCACATGTGTGCTCTAGACATGAAAATAATCTTAATAGTTTCAATACATCTACATAAAGATAAGCAAATACATTCCTTCATTCTGGGAAGGATCATTTTTGCCCAATATCTAGAAGCAAAGTGGAAAGGCTAATATTTTTCAAGTTATTTCTCTGAAAGTATTCCCTCCTGATTTTTCTTGCCTTTAAAGAATAAATTTTACTAGTATAGTAACATAAGAAAAAACAACAGATCTTTATCTTTTTAGGCTAATCTACTTGATACTAATTTCTGTAAGTGTGATATAGATATGCATACACTGGACATGCATTGACAAAAAAGTGCTATTTTCTGTCAAATACATTGCCATACATCAGGTAAAACTACATGAAGATTTTCAGTTGATAGCTATAAAAACATCGTCTGCTTGCTGCCTAAATTTAGTGTGCACTGGCCAGAAGGTGGTGCTTTCAACCATAAATGTGCAAATCAAGAAAGAAAACATTAATATGTGAGCTGTGTGAATAATATGAGCTGCAGTGAATAATAGAGGAAAACGGAGACTTCTGTGTACTTTTGTAAGTCAAACACAGATTGATAAGTTTCACAGTCCATAAAGAAGCAAGTATGATATGGAATCTTCTTTCTTCCTTAACACTTCACCTTACTATAAATTAGATTTCTCTTCCTGATTGCAGCACAGTGGTAGTGCAGCTTAGAAAGGAAGAGCAACAGCTTCTACTTGTGAGAGCAAAGAGACCTTCACCTGATTGCAGAATCCCTGTTGGTCACACTGAAACACAAGTTTGGTTTAAGAAACATTGAAAAAATAAGCAGCAAGCTGATGTGTGTGTGACCCCCACCCTTAAAATACCTTCAGTTTTAGAACATCTGCTTTGGCTTTCACTGATGGTCCTTAAAACAACAGAGGAAAAAGTTTGCTATTATTTCCAAATGTGTAGACTGCATGCGGAAGAGGAGGAAGCAAAGGAGAACTTTCACCCTGCACATGGTTTTGCTTTCTGTATAAACAGAATAAGAAGAAACCTTTTAGAGACAGCTTCTGAATAGCTGGCACTGCAGGATTACACACAAGTGTGCACCCAGCACCTCTTTAGACTTGTATAGGTGCTGCTGTTGGCAGATCTCAGGGAGTTCTCTTGTCCTTTAATCTCTGCTGCTCAATCCCTGCACCTTCCCTACACTTATAACTGTGTCATTTCACCTCTGAGTAGTTTTATTGCCCTCAACAGGGTTATTTCCATATGCAGTTTATTCACATACTTACCTAAATGTTTGCAAATTCATGTCAAGAAAATTATCTTCCAAACGTTTGATTTGAAATTGCACTCCTTTGATTAGAACTCTGCTCTTAGCCTTTAATATATCTCATTGAGTTGCTTGACCTCTAGATGATCATCCTAATTATCGTCTTTCCCTTCATGTTAATTAACTACTTGATAGGAGATTTGAGTTAATGATGAAATAGAGGAAAATAGGAAAGTTCATTACCAGGCCAATATTTTCACTGAATGTTCAGTGTATTAAAAACAATTAAGTAAAAGTTTATGTATACATAGGTTTGGGGTTTTTTTTAATCTTGATTAATTAAGCAGCATTCCTGGAAAAAAACCGAACAAACCCACATGAATTTTAGGATCAGTAGCTAACTTCTTTAGACTTCAACAGCATTAAATTTCCATTACAGTTCTGATGAGATCTTTAGTTTTGTTCTTAATGAACATGTTAACTTTTTTTAATTCTGTTGATTAAAGCAAATTAATTTAGGACTTTACTATTTGGGAAAGCTGTCAAATTCTACTCCAGAGATTAAATGAAAGCTGATAGTAATATGATATCTTTTGAAATCTTTGAAGATTCGTAATCCTTGTGGTTCCTATGTCATTGTCTTCAGATGTTCTGTGAGTGACTTTTTTCCCTTTCTCCCCCTACAGAAAGTTAGTGCAAGTCTGTGTAAATTCAAACGCTGTTTAAAATGCTTTGGTATATAAACTGTGCAGATTTACCTTACAGTGAATCATAACCCAATGGCCTAGTCACAAAGTCCTTTCTCTGACATCCTTTTCAGGGGACTTTTTTCCTTCGTAACAACTTC